CATCATCATCATCATCATCATCATCATCATTTCTCTCTCTCTCTCTGTCTCTCTCTCTCTGTCTCTGTCATCCATCCACCCATCTCATACTCACTTTGCATCTTTGCCCCACCCACTGTGGCTCCCTTGCCTCTCTAAAAAAATTCTGTAAGTATAACATTCTCACTTTTGCTTAGGGTGAATTTGTGTTATGCTTTCTAAGCATCTCTGCTCCTAAGAAAAGCTCTCCCTGGCTGTCCTCCAGTGTTTCACTCTTTACTTTGGCAAGCTGGATTGAATGCATGGAACGTAATTGCACAAATTACATTGCACAAATTTAGCAGAAGAATACAACATTTGAAACATACGCACAGTCTGAGGTCCATGAAAGAGTGGAAAATATGACATGTCAGATCTGACAAACCTATCACTAAGACATGAACTCTTGGTTTTTCAGTGTTGCAGTCAGCAAGTCAGTTCAAAGACAGCCAGAGTTCTTTCTGTAACTGAAAAAATATTTCAGTCTGCAGAGAACAGTTCCTAATAGGTCAAGCTTTTATAGTGTTGACATCTACATACAACAATTCTTTATTCCATGCAACATTTGTCCTGGCTTTTGGGAGAATCCCTCTTGAATGTAAATCCTAGATTTTGAGCAGAAGAACCTATAGAATGAGCCCATCATGAGCCCTCCCCTGACATTCCATGATCCAAATCTTGTCAAATATAAATTAATGCAAGCAAGTTGAGGAGCTTATACATGCTCATGTACATGCACACAGCTTATATGGTTGCTGTACACACGCACACAGAGAATCAAATGTTGTTGGAAGCTAGCTCATTAAACACAGATAGTATAACCTCGTAACATTAATATTTTTTATGGGAATGCCAGGCTTTCTAATGGCAGGCCTTCAAGAGTTTTATGGACTGGAATGTTTGAGGCAAGAACGTGAGCAAATCAGTTTTGAGGTATGAATTCTATGTGAGCCTTGTGGGTTGCTGGGATACAGACAAACTCATCTGTTTATCTTCAGGCTAGACAAGACACAGTCAAACACACATTATTAAAAAGGTCTTGCTTTCAGTATTGCAAATGGATCGTGAATAGCTTGCACCGTTTGATGAAGAAGCTGTAATATGTGGGGGCTGGACTTTTCCACTGGCATCTTCTGTGTTTTACCAGTCCAGCACTTGCAGTCTTTATTCTCTTGGACTTTTGTGGACTAGTTGTTAGTGAAAGTGGCATTTCTTGTCCCAAACGAATGGTACATTTTAAATTAAAGTGATGCAAGGCTTTTTACTGATGGCTCCCCCCCCCCCGCCCCATTTCTCTTCCCAGGCATGGATCTGTAGAACCAATGGAATATTTAGCAGGGCTACGGATACCACACAAAGAAAGAGATCTTCCTTATTGTCCTCCAAGCCAACCTGCAGTTCACCCCTCCAAAGGGAGCTACCTTCATCCACCAGATGGCCCAAGAGCAACAGAGTTATGGTATTCTCAGTATTTTCCACCACAGCCAGTAATCCAGCACAAAGGACCTCTTCGCCAAGATGTACCACCATCCCCACCACAAGGCCACAGAGCTCCACCTTATAATGAAATGGGCAGAATAGGACACCGTCAAAGCACTCCTGATCAGTACCAATGCAGGTACCAAGATCCAAGGCAGAAGGACCCTGTGACTGCAGCTGTATAATTGAAAGCTGAACTCTTGTTGATATTTTATGGTTGACATCATCTTACAGTTAGTCCCACTGAAGTCATTTCTGCACTCTCAGCCTATAGCATCTTCTAGAGTCATCTACCCATTGTTTTGCCAACATACCAGTAATAAGGACAGGCTTTTATTTCTTCACCAATGGCTGGGTGATGCTATGAAGATGCTATAAGTCACTCCGGGGGAAGTGCTCTTTAATGCTGGCCGATCTATGACCAGGATATGTACTCAGCTATATTGCAAACTCATACAAGTGGTACATGACCTCTAAGTATTGAAGAGTAAAGAGTTTTTTTAAAAAAATGCTTACACATACATGATGGTAGATGAAGACTCAGCAGTATTTCTACGCACGCCAAAAGTGCCACTCAGGGCTATTTGCAATTACACAGGCATAAAAAAGACACCCAAATGGTCACCGGGGTGGGGAAATGATTTCAGAAAAGGTATGTAATTCATGCCGCTGAGGGTGCAGTTAGTATAGCAGGTCCTACTTTACTAAGACTTCTCTGAACTGAAGAATTGGGAGATTCTGCAGTGTCACTGAGATGTGTTCCTTTCAAAGTGCGACCTGTAACTTGTTATTGTCCTCATCTTGGTAATTGTGCATTCTCTCTCATCTCTGAGTCCTTCATGAATATTCTTTTCAGCTGCTTGTAAGGATGCTTCAATTCTGATGCCGATTTTCTCCTTCTGTTTTCTAATAACAAGAGCAGATGGACAAATTTAAAAGATGCCTAAGGAGTTCATAGAACACCATACAGTATTGCATTGTAAGAGTTCTGGAAGGAAATACAAAAGGGCTCAGTGTGTAGTTTCCTACCTCTGATTTCATGATGATTAGAAGATTTGGTTCATTTGTACGGCAGTATATAAATGTGTGTGGGTGTCTATGTGTCTGGAGAGGGCTGATTCTTCATTGGTAACACCAGAACTGCCTGCTATATAGTTAATAATTGTGCACCAGGATGGAATTATCAATTTGTGCTCTGTTGATATTTTACTAGCACTGGCTTCCCCATTTACAACTCCAAATCAAAAAGGCTGCAAGATGGCTATAGAATATCATGTTTTAGGAACTCATTTTGGTAGACCACCAACCTTTCCTGGGCCCTATCAGAAAAAAGTTGTTGACAATGTTTTTGAGCACTTGGGTATCTATTAGGCTGTTGTTTGTTAATTTGTTTAAGTCAGCCGTGAAAAGTCTGCTAATCCTAGAAAGGAAAAGCTGGTTAAATGCCAAGCATTTCAGTGCTTGGGACTTCAGGGGCAGTGGAGGATTCTAGGTTAAACAAGGAAGAAAAAGAAATAATAATACTATAGTTACCAAGAGATTGACCGTAGTGTGGGTTCTACTTAGATGGAATCATGGCAGGAGTATCTGGGATGGGAGAAAGGGGGCAGGTGTCAAAAAATCAAGATGGCAGCCACAATCACACAATCAAAGTTGCCATCTTGATGTTTTTGACCTTTCCCCCCTGGATGCCCTGAATCATAGTGTAGCTGTGATGAATCCATCTAGAAAAAAGAATACTGCAGAAGGGAAATGACAAACTTTGCACATTTCTGTGAAATGCAAAGGTAGTTTAAGTTTTCATGATTTTTGTGATTTGCCACTCGACTAATGAAACTTCTGAGGCTTGCTTCAGTCTCTAATAGCATCTCTAAAAAGTCTCTAATAGTTTCAGCATGTTTTTTTTTAATTCTACACTCTGACTGGGGAGTCATTTTAAGTCTATGTTACAGCCCTTTTCCTTCCAAGTGAAAGACCTTGGGCCTGGCCACAGAAAAGAATTGAAAAATCCTTGGGTTTTCTTTTGGTATCCAGCAAATTAACAAGATTCATTATAGAGGTCATCTTATAATTATTATATATTGCTCAGAGGGGTCATCAAGCAGGCAGAGCCATTTATCATTTAGCCTTTCTGAAATGGCTTCATTCTGCCAAGTCCCCTCAAGAGACCTGGCATGTAGAGAATTCATTATGTACACAGATTTGTGTTGCTGTATTTCAGAGAGACCATTTCTCTAGTGCCCCTGAAAGAGTCAGTGGGTTGGTGTGAATGCAGCCCTGATTTCTTAGGCATTCATATTCAGAACATATGAGGTACTCTAATGCATTTTGAATCAAGGCTGAAGGTCATAGCCTTTTTCCAGAACTGTGCTCTGGACACTTATTCTTTAACCTACATGGGGCTACGTGGGAAGTCTCCAGTGATGAGAAATGTCAAGTATGTTCATTTTAACAGGGGAATGTCACCAAGAAGTGATTTCCTTTCTACCTGGCATGTTTGTGTGTGTATGTGCATGCACCTGTGTGTGGGATTTTTCCCCTAAAATGCAGACTTTTTTGGCCATGCAAAGGCCAATATCTGTTTCCAGCGGATGAATTTAATTTCAGTCGGCCCCGAATGATTAATCAAGAATTAATTGCAAGGAATTGCAAGACTACATTGATCTTTCCCTGGAAAAATCTATTTATATAAATGAACAAATCTTGTTCATGCCATTTTAAGCAAACAGCTTATTCTCTCCACCACCTCCATATAATCACATCTGAAATTGATGACCTGCTTACCTTTTGTTAAGCCAACATTTTCACGTTTTGTTGAATATCCACAGTGAGTTGAATTACTACAGGGAGGAAGGAAAGAATGGCATATTGTGAACACCAGTATATAGTGATTTTGCACATATATGCACATACAAGCTCTTTTTATACCAGACTTTATTTTTCTGGCTAATCTGTCATCCCATAATGGTTGGATTTCCTTGATGTATGTAGCATACTATATACATAAAAAATATGTTTTCCACTTTTCACCTTTGTGAATCGTTTCAGGCATTTAGGATATTTATAGCTTATGTGCAACTATGGAACACATCCAAACTCAGCTCTTCTCTAATCTGAACTGCCAATGCTTCAATTTCATAATCTCCTTGGTTTTAAAGAGGCCTCAGCAAAACCTGCCTTCTTATTAATCCAGAACTGATGTTGGTTGTCTGATTTAATCTGTGGGAAAGTTCCCTGCCCTGAATTCAGTTTATGCTTTCCTTAATTGTTTTGGGCAGAACAGATGTGGACATCTATTTGAGTAGGAGTATTAAAAAAAATCTAGATTTTAGAGCGGGCATTCCAAAGTTGAAACAGATTCTCCTCCTTCCTCAAGGATTGGGCCTGTGCTTCTGATCCAAGTCTATAGCCTTCAATTTCTGCTAAAAAAAAAAAGACACAAATGAAGATTTGGCAAGGATGCAGTTAGGTGCAGAAAAGCAATCAGAAGTGAAACTAAAACGTTTTAATGCACTTTGCTTTTATTTTAAGGACTGTAACTTATAATGCATAGGGCTCCTTTGTTGGTAAAACCAAATGTTGATGACGGTGGCTTTCTTGAGCCTAATCACAATTAACAATAGCCTTGAAAGATAAACTCCTACCTTATAAATCAATGCCACTAAACCTTTCCTGGGCCATTACATTCTCCTTTGCAGAGATAGCTGACAGCATTTCAGGAGCAAAGGAAGGATAAATCCAAACTGGATGGAAAGAGCCTGCCTAGGTTATTTATGGCTTTTGAGGCTGGTGCTCAATTGCTCCCAGGCAACCTGAAACTCCCATTTGAAAACTCCCATTGACTGCAGTGGCCCAGTTTGGTAGAACAAGGCAGGCAGGTCAGAAGTAGATTTTCCATGCTCTTAACCAGTGGTTTATTAAACAGTACCTCTCTTTTAGCTCAGTAAGGCAACTGATTCCCTGCTACAAACTAATAGATGCAGCACAACACTATAGAGGTGTTTTGTGTAGGTGCAAGGAAAATGAAAATTCTTGGGCTTAGTGTGAGGAAAAGTGCAAAAGAATTACATGCCATCCTCCTGAATCCAGAAGGCCAGGATTCTGACTGGGGAAAAGCAGCCGGATGTGTTAATTAATTTCAAGAGGTATGCATGTCAGAGAAAGGTTGCTTCTCTGAAAGAACATAATGCAAACTATCTCAGCACCATATTGCAGACAAATGTGTAGCACACACATACATCACAAGGTGCTATAGCTGATAGATGACAATATACCACTTGCAAAAACAAAATAAAAATTGACATCAGCCGTTAAGAAAATAGCTGCTCTTTTTCCCCGTGCGGCCATATGTTTGGGCATATTATGGACCTGGAAAGATCTATTTATATTCTGATATACTTTGCATTCATTTGCTGTAAAAATGTACCAGTCCAGCAGGAACCATCTACCAAGTGGCTTTGTGATGGTTTCTGGATGTTTTGGAGGTGCTCCTCTGAATGCCTGTCAGTTTTCCAGACAAACTGTGAAGACATTCACAATAGGAATGCAGTTGTCTTTTTAGGCACAAGACCAACTGATACCTTCTGCTACACCCTTGTTTCAGTCTCCCTTTTCTGGAAAAGGAGGAGGAGGATGCAGGAGAAATTGTCTAATAAAGCAGGAAAGCAGGTCCCAGATCCTATGCAGATGCCTTCACTCATTTTCTATGCCTTCTGCCAAGAAAAATTACTAGTCCTCGGGCATGTATTGTGGTAGTTTTAACCTGCACCTACTCACACTGTATCTGCTTTGAGCCACTTCCAGCTTAACCCCAAAAAGGCTAAGGAATGTGCTGCAGATGCTAAGCACCAATGATGTACTTTTTTAAAGGCTGGCTGAAGTATGATTGCACAAACAAATGTGGTCTGAACAGTTGGTACACCCAAGGGGGAACCCTTCAATTGATAATCACATGGTACAGATGAAGGGCTGCTAACAGTTGGACATCCAGGCCTGGATGTTGGGCAAGCTTAACTTAGGCACAGATGATTGGTCAGACTCCTCTAAAGTCACTAGAAATATCACCATACTGTCAATCAAATTATTGCTAACATTTTTAAAAAGCCTGAATTGGACGTGTAATTAAATATTTAATTTGACTACCAGAAGATTTCCAAAAGAGGAACTTGCTCTGATCACCCAAATGAAAAAGTGGCTCTCTGAGCAATATAAAAGCTTTGGGAAAGTCCCCTTCCCAAATTGTTTATCCCAGCTAAAGTCCACAGCCAGAAACAACTTCATATCCGGCCCAGTTATACACAGAGTGGAAACAATTCCTGCCTCTTTCACGTATTTCTTCTAGGAAAAAAATGTTCTGTAACTCCACCTTCCTTATGGGATCCCATGCCTTCCCAGATCAGGCCCTTGTTTAGAAAACCTGAGTAGATTACCGTGCACTTGAATGCTGCTTGTTTTGA